GGGCTGGACGGGTCTTCTTTGTGCTTTTAATTTCATCTTGATTCCAAGATTTATTCCATTTAAAAATTGCCTAATAAAAGGGAAGCCGCCGGTTTTCATTAATTAGCAAGAGTTGAACAAGATAAATTCTTTGTTTTTGAACGCATGTTGAGAAATTAACAAAGCTTGTGATATTTGTGTTCCGTTTAATTCTGTTTTAGGATTTATATAAAAATATTATCAAGGTAAGCCTTCATTAAACAAGTCGATATGTTATTCCAACCTTTTAGAAAGTTTATGATTTAAAGGAATATTTTCGTATGCTTTCAGGTACTAAATAGAGATTTCTTAATTATTCTGGCATTACCGAACATATCTTGGGACCTAGTATTCATTTTACGGAAACAAAATGTCAATGATTTTTGATCAAAATATTCACATGCAATCTATGATGTGTGAAGAAATTTATTATCCCTTCTGACTTTACGGTTAAATTTTGGTGCATAGCATCGGATCTTTTTTCTGGATTCCGAGCTCAAATATTGGCCAGGATAATATGTTTGAGCTTGACTCACTCACTCCCTTGTCTTGGCATCAGCGGGTCAATATATCGCCGGCTTTTGACACAACATTGCTCCGCTCCATGACACCTCCTTTGTGAGGCTCGAAAAGATGAGGAAATCTTGCCGGACGACGAGAGTGTTTCTGGAACGGATCGTAGCATGACAAGATTCCGCGCCTCCTCCCTGGATTTACTTCCCAATTCAAGACTCAGTCCACAGTCTAGAGAAGAAGTAGACTCACTTTCACGGGAATTTTAAAACTATTTAACCACAAACGAAGCGCTAAAGACTCAAGGAAAGAACGTGCTCGTGAGTTCACATTTTTCGCCTAACTTTGTAAAACTCACTTGCTAAATTTAAGTCAGAAGTTGCTGCGAATTAAGAAATGATATTATGGGCTCTAGAAATGTTAGACTTGAAACCAGATTCCAGGTGTCTGTGAACTCCATTATCCAGAAAGTCTCATTGAGAAATGTTGATCTCAAAGCCTCAGCAGGCCGACCTCTGAACCCCAGTAGCGTCGACGCTACACCACCTCCACGTCCCGGTCGCTTAATTTACTTAATTTCTGCAACAGAAGCGCAAATTGCGCTCCAGTCGCTTGGCATTCTTCGAAAAAAATATTCGACTAGCGTAAAAGAATCAACTTTGCTCGCACTGAACAGGAATTTCTGAGGATTGCATGAGATTCGTCGAGCATCAAGTCAAGGTTTCGATGACATTTCAAGTTTTCTCGTCTGAAATTTTTTATTTCATGGGACAAGGTTCTCTAATCAAAATATGATTTCTGAGTCACTCCATCGTTCGTTTTTACGTAAATTTCTTTGTGATCATGTGAATCCTTAACAAAGAATTTTGCTGTCATCTATGGGGTGATTTCATTTATTGAATATGCAACAATAATCAAAATATTTTGCACGATATTCTTTAATTTGTGCTATTTCAATCCGTGTAAAGCCTTTTACACCACGCATTTATATCACACTATCCGCGATAAATTAAATCTCAACTGGAGATATTCCTACGATCCTCTTCTGAACAATTTCTTCCTTCAAATGATAAAAACCTATAGAGTATTTTATAATATAAATAAATTTGATAAAATTACACACATCAAGTCTGTCTTACTTATAGCGTAATAAATGATCATTTTTTACGACTTTTTGTTGAGATTTTCCTTGTACATCATCAAAGGCCAAGCGGGTTCGCGAATCTAAAGGTCTTGGCGAGATAATTTCTAGTACGGACTCCCATGATGATTGTTGAATTTGCGAATGAAATAGCTTGCTATGGGACTTTAAAGCTATCATTTTAGAATTGCTAATAATGCGAGCAGACTCTGATTATGTCGCTCAGTACACGTTATAAAGACCAGTTTCGGCGCAGCACGGCAATGAAGAGACCATGAAGCCCCTCCCGAGAGCAGACCAGACGACCTCCGACGGAGCGAAGTTTTCTGTTGTTGTATTGGCAAATAATGCCTTTGAGTTTCATGCTGGTAATATGATACAAATTTTATTCAAATTTATGTCGCATGAATTATCAATTAGCTATAACGATACATTATTTAGTACTTAGTCGTGAGCATCCGATTTCCGAATGAACTTGCTTCATGTTAGTGGGTTATTTTAATACGCTGTTTACAGTGAAAGAAATTCTCTCTTTCTCGCTTGAAATTAGTTTCTAGATTTACAGTAATTCCACTGTAAATTTTGATGTCACTAAATATTATTATATTTTATAAGACATCGGTCAAAGAACTCTCCTCAAGTTGCAGCAACGTGATCTTATGTACTACCCGCTGAATCTGCCTGAGACAACTTTATTATATGACTAAAAACTTAATCAGTTTTCATCATACATAACAAAATTAAAGAAAACCTCAAAAACTTTCATCAGTTTTCATCATACATAACAAAATTAAAGAAAACCTCCAAACTACCAAAAATTGAAAAGATGTTTTCAAGATAGTAACGTAATCAATTATTCATCAGTGAACGCCTTAATCGCTTTCTTGGTCATGCAAAAGCTTGGTCATTCGCCCCTCCCCCCTTTCATGAAATCTATCAAGGATACAGATAGGCGGCACGTACCATACACAATAATAATTGCAGCGTCATAGCAGGGTACTTACGCGAGTTAATTAAAATATACATCACTTGGAAAAATACATCAATAATATTACACGAATGGTGAAATACTTTTTTTACCCACAGCAGAGCAGACGCTCTGATATCCCTTCTGCAGGTGCAGGACCAAACTAGGTCAGGATGACCCATGTATGCACTGAAGCTGCAGCAATATTTGGATGAATTCCCCATAAATTAATTATGTATGTAAAAAAACAACAGCGCTGTTGCCTCAACCAAGACAAAGCACATCTATACATAAATTGGTTTTAACTAAACCTTAAATCAGCAATTAAAATAATCAGTGCTTTATATGTTTACGACTTTTGTCTATTTACGACCTTGAAAATACAAGTAAACTCTCATGTTTATATTGATATGAAGTTTATTCTTGTATTTGCTTTCTCTAATGTAACTGCCCGCAGTACTTCATCTCGTGCTTGCTGGTTACTACGACGGGTTCTGCATTGTAGGCAAATAACGTACAGTGATAGGTCACGCTCGCAGCATGACTGCCATGGGTATTTCATGCGCCTGTATACGGACGACGAGCATGATGCTTGTAGCATGACTAGCATGCGTATTTCATGCGGCGTATATACGCATGACAAGCATGATGCCTGCCGCATGACTAGCATGCGTATTTCGTGTAGCGTGCATACGCATGACGAGCGTGATGCCTAAAGCATGACTTTCATGCGTATTTCATGCGGCGTATATACGCATGACGAGCATGGTGCTTGCAGCATAACTTTCATGCGTATTTCATGCGGCGTGCATACGCATGACGAGCATGATGCCTGCAGCATGACTAGCATGCGTATTTTATGCGGGGTGCATACGCATGACGAGCATGATGCCTGAAGCATGACTTTCATGCGTATTTCATGCGGCGTGCATACACATGATGAGCATGATGCCTAAAGCATGACTAGCATGCGTATTTCATGCGGCGTATATACGCATGACAAGCATGATGCCTGCCGCATGACTAGCATGCGTATTTCGTGTGGCGTGCATACACATGACGAGCATGATGTTGTAATGATGCGCATAAACAATGCGTCGTGCAATGCGCATAAACATGCAATGCGTCGCATAAATGATGCGCATCAACAATCCATCCTTCACCGTTCCTTGCTGCACTCTAAAATTTTGCTTCCCAATTCAATTGTAAAACATTTTACTTTGCTTATGAATTTTTATCCAGATCCATCAGCAATCCGTGGCTTTATAACTATTGTCTTGTGAGAGTGTTTCTTACAATATTTTAATTGCATGTAATTTTAGACTGTTTAAGTTTGTACACGATTTGTAAAACTTGTTTTGTACATTTTTTTACCACCAATAACGCACATATAATTCATTGCACATATTGTTATCATTTTTTAATAAAAAATTTCTTTATTATTGTTATTCAATTCATCCTAGTTTTTTTTTACTTAATCCGATTTATGTGATAAATTCTTATGTCGTGAAATACGACGTAAAACGCGCTGAACGTCACTGGAACATCGTTGGAACACCGCTGAAACATCACGGGAACATCGCTGGAACACCGTTGGCTCATCGCTGGAACATCGTTGGAACACCGCTGGCACATCGCTGGAACATCGTTGGAACACCGCTGGCACATCGCTGGAACATCGTTGGAACACCGCTGGCATATCACTAGAATATCAGCATTTAGCATCTCTGTGAACGCCGCTCAACTCGCTGCTCCTAAACTGTCCACTTATCAATAGATAAATGGCTACGAGATGAGCACGTACTCCGTTGATAAAAAATTCCTGCCGGTTCAGCTTGCAGGCTCATGTCGGTTATTTCGGGGCACTAATATTGACGCTTTGATTTCTCGTAGGGGCGCCAAGCAACAGGCCTACTCACTTGGCTCTCATCCACCCCCCTTCCCCACGCGAGGGATTCCAGCAGACTTTCCCCGCAAGGAATATGTACTATCTTACTATATATTAAACCAGGACAGAGATAACACGAGCATTTGCACCTCGACATGATGCTGACTTCAACGGTGAGCATTTTCCATTCTGGGGGTATTGATTGGGTTATGTTTTGGATTGTATTTGTATACTTTAAGCCATTACTCCAATACTAAAAGAAAGCCACTCTTTATTTTTATACATAAGCAGAATAACTAACCTTATTTAACAATGGACGTCGCAAAAACTAAAAAATATTGTCATTTTATGGCTGTTTTAGGTGAAAATATAATCCAGATGTGATGGGCATCGAATGCATTGGCGCTCATTGAAAGTGAACGTCCCCGAAATGCCTGAACTCGCCGAAGAGGTCACTCAGGTGCCTGCCGAGATGCTGGACCCAGTCACAGATCGCCAGCTCACGAAGGAGGATGTCTTGTGAACCTCTCCCGTGCCTATAAAAAGTCCCGGGAGATTCCTCACATGTTTTAACGGTGTAGCTTCATGAAGAAGTGTTGTGTGCAAGTGTCCCTTAAATTAAACTAACAATACATGTGTTTATTGTAAAATTAGAACTTCGAAGAATGAAGAAACTCTGAAAAAAAAGTTCGAAATCGTCCTCATATCAAGTAACTTAATTTCTGACCCAACATAAAAAACTGGCTGCCTTGAATGAGCTTGTTATGTATTTTTTACTGCGCTTATCGATTTATAGGCAAATATAGTGCGAAGTGAATTCAATTGTAGGTATAATGCTTCAGTTACCTTAAGCATTATCATTATACGATACACGTTGCAAGCTTACAGAGACTGTCGCCTCCAGAGTAATTTCAGCGGTGGCTTTTTCCTGTACAATTCTGCAGCAACGAAATCTTTAAATTTTATAACAAATGCACCTTGCTTCCAATGGCCTTGTGGTCTTAATGAGCGAGAAAATGGTGGCGACACATTCGCCTGGGCGCACTGGTTGGTGGAGAAGATTCTACAACGCGTGAATTATAAGGGAAAGTTAAATAATTCAAGAAATGAAAATGGAGGCGAATGAAGGGGTTAGTAAAGGTATGAAGCGATCGTTTGATGATATCGACAGTGGGTTGGGGAGCGCAAGACTCCAGAAAAAGAAATTCAAACCTGAACTCACGGAATTTTGTGTTCTGGCCTCTTCGAGTGCAGCTCCTGAGCCCGACACAAATATTGTTATAAAGTCTGAAGAAAATCAAGTAGGATTGCAACCAAAAAACTTACAAGACGGCGCAGTGCCTGCCAGTCCATCTTTTTCAGCGCCTAGCGATCTGATATACCAAGGCAGTTCTTCAGATGACAATTTAGCGATGAAAATCAAAGATTCCAACAACAATAAGACTCAAGCCTTCCCAAGCAGTAACCCAACAGGGCCCTCTGCCAACGTCAGTTCGAAGATGTCAGCCTCAAGCACCAGTAGAAAAGGTGAGGTTTGTCCGAACTAATTTCTCATTCCATAACAAAAACAAAAAGCAGTTAATCATTATTCGATTAATCTTGGGTCTTTCATTCAATATTCAGCGCACCCAGAGAGCAGGATATGAAGGAAATTTCTGTTGTCCGTCAGCTGATTCGTAACGACTTATTGAGGCTCTCGAGCTCATGAAGCTAGTTCCTGTGAGGGGGAACTTCAAACACCTATCCTTAAGCAAATTTTATGAAATAATACAACGTTTTTTCCTCAAACTTGGAGAGCTGAACTACATCCAGAAAACCTCAAAATAATAGATACGTTGAAAATTAGGAATGTAAGACTAATATTACTTTGAATTTAATTCATACTATCAAAATAAATCTACAAAGGTTCGACTGCGTACACGTCCATCGATCAATCAATAGGATATAGAGTTTGCTTAATTACTTTCTTCCGTATTCCAGCAAATAAAATCAGTAATTAATGTGGCCCTTAATTTTTATCCGAGAAATTTCCGTTAACCAAAGTGAACTGATTAATAAATATCGTCGAATTCACCGCTTAGATTTCATAACAGAAATATCTCAGTTCGCGTTTTAAAATGAGTTGTAACATGCTCAGTAAGAGAATTCTATGTAAGCCACTGCAGCTTAGCGTCTGATGTTATTACACTTTTCAACTCATTTAATTTGTTTGAATGAAGGCAGTTTTTCATGTAAAACATTGTCTGAATGTTTCAATTCTCATTGCAGTTTACGGACTGCGGCCACGAACAAGCATGAGGCGACCGAGGTCTACAAGCCCAGTCGATGTTCCAGCCACCGTCGCAGAACCCAAGAAGATCTACGATGAACCCAGTGCCAGTAGCTGCAGTGTGGACGCATCGCTACCCAGCCCAGCAGCACCAAGCCCCACCAAGGGTAAAGGTTCTTCTTCCAAGCCCCGGGTGAGCAAAAGTAAACCCTTGTCCAGGTATAGACGAATTACAGCCAACGCGAGAGAACGGGACCGCATGAAGGAAATAAACTCTGCGTTTGCCACTCTTCGCGCCGTGCTCCCTACCTTCGCGAACAGCAGAATTGCCTCCATGACGAAGTACTCGACCCTGCAGTTAGCCGCGTCTTACATCAAAGCTCTCTCTGATATCCTCAACGAGGCTCCAACCGCTCACAATGAAAATAAGAAGGAGAATAACTGCCCAACTTACCAGTCGGGTATGGGAGGCAACATGGTGAATATTGCGACTTCAAATCATCAAAATGTCAATTTGAGCGTTGGTATAAGCGAAATTTCTTTCAATAAATCGACGGATTGTGATTCGCATCAAAAAAATAATGATTTTTCCATATATTCTTCAAACTTAAATCCTAACGCTAATTTAAACGATATCACAGATGATAATTTAGGGGAATTGGCAGATTTTAGTCCTTTGCCAGACATGTGCTGGACGTTAGATCTAATGTTGGAGTAAGGCTCAGATATAAATTGATGCTAGGGGAACAATGTGCCTTTTAATGCCATATCTGTGGAGATCTAGTCATAAAATAGAATATTATATGCATCGGCTCACTTTACTTTCTCCCTGTGCCCGTTTATCTTGTGCAACTCAATAAAAACTGCGAGTAAATAGGGAACCAGTGCTTCTAAATTAGCTGTTACTGCTTGTTTCTTGAAGGTAAAAAATGGCTGAATTTTTTAAGCCAAATAGAATATTTGGACTCCAGTTCATCTCGAGCGCACTCTATTTTTTAGCATAAATAAAACTCTCATGCGTCATCATTACGATCACTTTGTACTGATTAATTTGTTACATAATCGTTTATTTATTTATATATAAGGACATGTTTCAATTAGAATATCCTTTTATTTATAGTTATTATTTTATCAGAATAGGAAAAAGCTACTCTAATACTCTGTTATCAAGATGATTCTCAGCTCAGAGCGCAGCAACTTATTGCAGAATGTAAAATTTGTTGTACTAGTTTAATAGAATATTTATTTCTGTAATTTATCTACTGGAAATACAATTTCCTCTTTCCCTGAACCTTTTATTGAAACCCTTTATGTATGTGTTCGTTGAGACGGCCTCTCCATCAAAGGAAAGAAAAATTATATCATTGTTTTCAATTTCACCATGAGAATAATTTGCCTCAAAATGGCAGATGGATGGCCATCAGTAATTTAATAGTAATTAACTGTCAAAAAGTTGATAACTTATTTAATTTAGTCAGAATCAGCATTTATTTTCGAAGTGACATCAGAAGCATTCACTAGTCCACGGGAATCTTGCTCCATCTTCCAGGAATCGTGCCATGGTCAGAGAACTGCCAGCATTGGTTTATTCTTTATTAGTAAAGATAATTTATTGAATGATCGCCATCAATTTGACAATGGTCATTAAATAATAATTCTACATATGAATCGTCAAAATATCAATCCAATTGTATTTTTAATATCGGTAAGATTTATTGAATTCAACATTTATTGCAAACGCTAATCTAATGTTGAATACAATTTTTATCCATAATTGGTATAATAAATCAATACCTGACTAACTCTTAGAACACAAAAATGTAACTCAGCACTCATTGCAGTGAGTGACAGAGAGCGCATTTTCTCGTCGACGAAAACGTGAAGTCACGGACAAACGGACAGACAGACGGACATGACAGACGGACAATAGCGCCTTTTTTCCATAAATGAGAAAATTCGCTCAAAATACTGCATCTAAAGAAAGGCTCTCATTTAACAGCAATTAAGACAGTGACGGTCGTGGAGCGTGAATAGGACAAGCGTAGCACGGCTGCTTCCTGCAACGGTCAGCAGTCGTCGTCAGTTAACTCACTTAACTGAATAATTTCCATAATTTAAATAGAACCTAAATGTAATGAAGAACTTAATTCAGTTAGAGAAGCTAAATATTTTTTATGTCTGTAAATATATGAAGCAAAAATATATATTGTTTAACATATGTTTTTATGTTGTTTAACATATGTTCAAATGTTCTTTAACATTGGTTCATGTGTTGTTTAACATCTATTTTAACAACACCAAAACATTTGTGCTGTTTATTGACTATATTGCCTTATTATATCGAGCTTAATCCATTAGTGTATGATGAAGATTGAAGGAATATTTCACATCGTTAATTAAGGTCTTTTTGTTCCTCCAAATCATTTTTAACACGTTTTTCTTTACTCAGCTTCGCGTTTGTTTGTTTGTTGTTAATATTGACAACGAAAATTAGCCCACTTCTGATTGCTCTATAGAGATCTGAAATTCGGCATGCAGGCTATTTTCGCCTAACAATTTCAGATACGATCATAAAAACTTGCAATTAGAGACCTAAATTGGCTTAATTGAGTAAAGTATATATATATAGTATATATATAGTATGACGTGCGGGCGCTCACGTTATAGACGAGCAGGCGCTGACGCTGCGTATCATCGATACGTTCGTCAAGTCAAGTAAATTGGCTCGCAACAACGTTTTTTCATGTGTAGCAACGGACTAAAAAGGAGAAAATAAAATACGTAAAAAATTTAAAAAAACACGTTTTTCTTGTGGACTAAAAAGTAGGAAATAAATTATGGCTCGCCCCAAGAAACGTGGGTCGGGCTGTACGTTCACCATCAAATTTCCAAAATTCGTGTGTTGTGTGCTTTTCGCTTTTATCATAAATCTGACCGACACACGTTTTTTGGGGCGAGCCATAATTTATTTTCTACTTTTTAGTCCACAAAACGTGTTTAAAAAAATTTAAGCATTTTATTAAGTTTGCACTACACTAACATATGGAAATTCGCATAAATATTTATAAAAAGTTCTGCTTGAAAAATTGATGAATAAGGTTGGGAAGCGTTTGAACATTTTTCTGTGGACATCTGGCAACATGTTTCACACATCCAAATAATGTTAATAGAATACCACAAATATCTAAGAATTTAACAAATAAAAGACGGCCGCTCTCCACATTTCGCGTTTAAATGCAAAATTTGTTATCACTTCGAGTACGGATAATAGAATATAAGGCAGTACCTTTGCACCTTTTATCACAGGTTATTCTAATGACAACAAATGTTAGCGATGAAGATTAAATAATTGGATTTCAATAAGAGAGGTTAGCTGTTTATCATCTGAAAATTTATGCCGTTAATTCGTTCGATTTGAATTGCGACTGAAATCATCTAATTTGCTCTATATATCATTGGTGACCATTAATGTTTGGATCAAAGTTTGCTTTATTATGAATTTTTGTCTATGTGAATCAATTTGTGGAAGAGCAACTTTCCGTTGATTCAATTCAACGTAGCTACATACACAGGCTCATCTAAGGCTCACAAATTAACGTCAGTTTCAACCACATTTTTCGTTGTCAGCCAACGTCTTCTGAGCCGTAGGTTGAACCTGGAATTTAGCGTTACCGTCATTCCGGCACCGCAATTTCCAACCTGTTACACCGCCGTAAATTGGATAGAATTACGGTAGCTCAATACATCATTAGTAATGCTTGTTTCCTGGCTATCATGTCACATGAACCGCACATTATATAACCAATAACATTCAGCGTACATTTGTCATCAGAAAAGCCCCACTTGAGGGCGAACTGTCGGGCGCAATCCATGATTACCGACCGGCGATGGACATAAAATGAGATTGGGATTGATTGTGTCCACTTGATCGAAACCAATAACAAAATTAATAATTACTGGGCAGTATATCTTCGATTATCTTGCCTTGTCATCTCGAATCGCTTGTAGTTTGTGAATGGAAAGGAGTATAAATTGAATTGCGTGATAGATCTATAACGAAAATTCTGTTTCATGCAGGAAGTTAGCGATTACTTTCGATCACTTGAGCTGTTGTAACTATTTCCAGCTCATAATACATATAATTTATTGGCTAATATACGCTTCATTTGTCGTCATGGAGCATCCAAATTGACAAAATAAGGCATGATTGTTAACTTGAACAACCGCTGAACTAAGTCAAACTTTGCTAACATGGTAAAGATGCTCATGTGGCTCGCTTATTTAGTTCGTGTAAAAACAGTTAAGTAAAATATTCCAAAGCAGAAAAAAATATACATAGTAAATGTTTTTATATATTTGATGTATTCAGCTAGCCACAACTGAACATTTAATATTTTTAGTATAAAATTATTTTAATAACGTCACCTACCTGAGGCTGTCGTCCTGTCAGACGATTCCGACGCTTGTAAAGCCAGCGTGTGTTAGTAAATACGTATACTTCCTTCATGTAACAACAAAAATCTGCTTAACATTTTTGGGCAATCTAAAAGGTGTGATTTTAATCAATAAATTAAAGTTTAGTAACAAAACAACACGTAAGACTGTTTTTGCGTAAGATCGTAGCGGTGATAGCAATCTCTTGCGATCGCTATCTCGTTCTGTATCACTTATACGGGGCTCGGTAGCACCTCTGCATGCTCGCTCCATATGAATGCCACGACCGTTGTTTCGAATTTCATTCCGAATCTTCTTAAGAATTAATTAATAGGTCGTGAATACAAAGTTTCATTTGACTTGGTAAACGAGCAAAATGTTTTGGTATTCAGAACTAGTTAGGTTTAGGAATAATTTTTCATAACCATGTCGTCTCACATAGCTTATGTGGACGCAGCTTCATATATACTGTAGCTTTTGAAATGAAGCCCTGAAAACTTTGAGAACTAAGCACTCAATCTGTAACAAATCAACCGAGCAATCCGTAAGTTTAATTAAGGAAATACATTGATTAACTTGTTCAAAAATTCAGTTTCTTGCAATAAAGATGATTAATTAAGATTGATACGATAACGCTATGTAATTCATGGTTTATGTTTATTTTCTTCCGATCTACGAAGTATGAGTTAAATTTTGACTTGAATAATAATTTGGTAATTGAGTCTATAAAAGGATCGGGGTTTACGATCTAATGCAGCGTAAATGTAATCCTTTTTTACTATTGAGATGGCGTAGCAAACATGAAACAGTAAATTTAAATAACTTATACAGTTATACATCTCTCACGGCATTTAATCAGTTAAGAAGCTCAAATATAATACAAGAGCCAGATATCCGGCCGCGTATTTCAATGTTGATATTTAGAGCGCATCTCACCAAATGAAGGCCTGCCATGTAAAGTACACTTGATCTGCCAACCTAAAACGATATAAAAAAAACATTGAATGCAATACTTTAAATTAATTCAGTTCATAGCTGCCCCATATAACAGCTATCGTGGTGTTTGCATAATATTTTCTGTTGTGATTCAAATGCTCCCTATGTTCGATACAATCGCATGTCGTTGGAGCTTTTCGCAAGCCTGGTAGCAATAACATTGCTTGCCTCGCCTCATTTTCTTTCGTAATCTGCATACGAGGCCGAGCTTTTCTGACTGCAGGTGTACGGGGATAAAAAAATACGGCTTGGTTTGGCCTGCGGGCGACATCAAAAGTTGCTTCTCAGGAACGCGGATGCGGACCGTTTGTTCGACCACAAGCTGAGGAGCATCGTTATGGCGCTTACTTATATAAGTTTATTTATTTTGTTCCCACTCGCAAAAGCCATTTCTAGGGTATCTTGAAATTAATTCCAAGCTTGGAATGCTGCTGCCTTGCTCGGCAAAATGTTCCCTGCATAATATCTGCAGAAATAAAAAGTCTCATAATGCAAGTGTTATTTAGCATCCATGACTTGTTTGCAATGAGAGGGAAATGCAAATCTTCTCAGAGCTGCAGCTACAAAAACATCCTGCATATGTCCCTCATCAAATATCTCGCAGGCACAAAAAGCCGTCAGAACTCAGGTCGCGTAAATAGCTTAACCTTTTCAATTATTCCAAGCAGGCACTTTGACCAGTGCGTGAAGTCCTCGATTATTGGGCGTTTCTTCGGAGACGCTTTCAATGATAGCTTGAAAATTTATCCTATCGTGCGCATACATGGGCGACGCTGCGATCTGACGGTAACAACTGAAGAGGATGATGGATGCTCGTGCCGGTGGGCTTCGTAATTCGATTGGCTGTGGGGTCGG